TTTTCTTAAGCTGAGAGTTTATTATTGTGGAATTTGATTTTGTGTAATAACCAGCACTAAAGCAAACAGTATTTTCCGAAGGAAATCGATCAAGCACATTTGAGCTGTCAGCAGGATTACAGCCGGACAATGAGATTCATTGCAAATTGCTCTGAACGATTACAATGCCAACTTAAACTGATTCACTCTCCCTATGTTTCTATGATTTGTTGTGCGTGTGAGTGTGCGTATGCACAATGCCTCTCAAACTGCTCATAAACAATAAACCGCGACCTTTGCGAGAGGAGGCGGGCAAATAACGGATAGAATGTGCTAATTCAATTACGCAAGTTGAGTAATTGCCTCGGTCAGTGTTGTGGATTGAGCCTATGGCTCAAACGTCCTTGGGATAAATTAAAAGCCGGGATAATGATGAAGATGGAAGGGGGAGGAGTTCACTGTAGAACAAAACAATGAATCTAGCATTTCTCCTGGAATGAATCTTTAGCTTATTAGCACAAACACACACACACACACACATTGTGGCTAAGCTCGCAATGCCATGCAGGGTGTCGCAGGAGTATTGTGGTCTTCATAAATAGGTGTTGAGTTGGCTGAAGACGGTGCCCTGGAGGCTGAGGTGTCTGCTGAAGCTTAGCTGAGCGTTTCTGTTGTGTTGCTCGGCTAGCGTGATGAATACGCTGCCGTATTCACCTTCTATTCTTCTCCGACTTCAGCGTAGCACAATAGAAGGATTTATGAACACGGACACAAAAAAATAAATAAAAAAAACACACAAAAAAACTGCACTAAGCTTCTGGCTCAAACAAAATGCTTTAAAACCTGCAGCTGCAATCTAGGTTACGGACTGCATCCACCATTTTTAACCACACACACTAGGCTATGTTCTCATTTTCACTCTCTTTCGCTCTCTCTGCCTGTCTGTCTACCTGATTAATTTAGGCTGTCTGACTGTTGGACTGAGTTGGATTTCAGTTATTAAAGGCTGCTCTTTCTCCCACTAGCGCGCAGGGGCAACGACACCCGCTAATTAGGATCACCCTCACGCAGGGTTGCTCTTTCTCTGGCCACACCACTGGCCCCCGTTCTGCTGTGGAGTGTGCCGTTGTGTTTCTGGATGCCAAACAGAGTAAAGACATCATATGCCCACTTACAATTTGGACCGTTTACGTCGAAAGAGAGGAGGAGGAGCTTTTGACGCATGGTGTGTGCATGTGTTTGTGCATGTGTCTGTGAACATGTGTTTGGCAAAAGATGAAGACAGTGATGCAAATACAAGCAGAAGTGATTGCATGCTCTGGGGATCGTGTTCCAGTTTGATCCTGCACTGCATGCTAGTGTCGGCTTGACAGGCGCATTGCTGCCATCTAGATGACATGTTTGGAATAGTGCTATACCAATTTTTGGACATTTTTAGTATGCAAAGTACACATGGGATACTTAATAGATAAAATACAGATGAAGTGCTACATTTGCCACAATGCACACTGTGCATATCCCAAAAAGCACACTGCACAGACTCTCAATGTAATGTGCTCAACTTGACCTTCTATCTCCCATCTGACAGATGAGCCATTAATAATTACAGTTTTCTCATTACTTGTCTAGAGTTTTGTACATCTCTGGAATTTAAGTTCATTTTTACACAAAATTTAATGAAAATTTAGTTTGAAATGTTAATTGTGGAATAAGTGTGTGTAGTATGTAGTAGTATGAAAACAGTAGTCTAGTATTACATTCTGAATGGAGCCACATTGCAATAATCTTTTCCCAGATATCTGTACATTGCTTTCCATAAAAATGATTAAAATTATATATATAAGATATATAATAAGATTGAAAAACTTCTTTTTTTTACACTGCCATTTTTTCTTTAAAAATAAAACGAAAAAACAATCGTGAGATTTAGTGAGGAAAGTGTGAGAAAGAATTTTGAAATGCAGAATTTCATCAATAAATAAATAAATAAATAAATAATAATTCTCAATCGTTCCAGAACAATAGACGTTGACTATGCTTCATTAAGTATGGATAATTAAAAGATTAATTAGTCAAGCCTAATTATGGATACAGAAAAATATGCACATAGACTCCAACACCGGCAATTGCCACCTGGCGAGAAAATATTTAATTTCTTATGAATGTGTTATTCTAAGAACACAAACTTTTCACTTATGAATGATCTTGGCTTTAAAACGATGAGTCTACAAGGCTGTGGCACTCGCTGTAACTGCCGTGACCCTACACAGAATTGTCTCGCAAGCTCAAGAGCCCATTTGAGGGATGAAATTGAATTTGCCTCTATGATTAGAAATGTCAGAGTGATGAAACGGCGTATAACTGCCGGAGGTTAAACATGGGAGACATCATTAAAGAAACAGAAGCCAACTTATTCTTCATTAATGGAGACAGAAAAAGAAAGGGAGGAATAAAAAGAGAGACAGAGTCAGAGGAGAAGCATTTCTGCGTATGCTTTGCCATGTTTGAGAGGCTGCTGGGCTAATTTGACATTTGAACATTTACTGCACCTCATTACAACAGCTCACAGCCTATTAATCTGCCGACTGGATAGATGGACCACACATTCCTCACTGTCATCTCTCACTCACTCAAAAACACTTTTACAAAAAGAGGACTTTGTCCTGAATCAGCATCATTTGTTTTTCCTGGGGCAATATTTATATTAGCCAGTCACAGCCCTCAACTCCGCCCCTTTTAAATTAGAGGGCGATGCATATTGTTTGCATGTTGTTCAAGGAACCACAAAGGATGTAAAGCCACTAACCAATTCTACTTGTTTAAATCTCATTAAGAGATTCCTTATACATTTAAAGGGATAGTTCACTTTGAAATTAATTTTTGATATGTTTTAGCTTACCTCAAGGCCATCCAAGATGTAGGTGTCTTTGTTTCCACAGTATTTTCAATTTTGATATTTTTAGGTCAAACCGTTCTTGTCTGTCAGTCATATAATGAAGGTTTATGGGGTCCACCTCAAAGAGCATGCACAGAGAAGTCCAAATTAAACATGAGTTAATGACTCGTATGTAAGTACACATTGATGGCCTAGGACACGAAACTAGTGGTTTGTGTGAGAAAACGAACAGTATTTATATCGTTTTACCTCTTGTAATCACAGCCACGTCCAAGTGATCTGAAGGCATGGGTGCTTCGTTCTGCGCAAGCGCCAAAAAGCACCGGAAGTGATCTCTTGCGCGGTTGCGAAACAAAAAAAATCAACGTTGCCTGTTGATATATCGAAATCGTCTTCTATTGCAATTTCCTGTATTTCTAAATATCTTTAGATCTTCACAGTGAGGGATAACACTTCTGTAAACAATGAGTGACGTACACGTGCAAAATCACTTCCGGGGCTTACCGGCGCTTGTGCAGACCAAAGCGCCCGCTCCCTCAGAGTACTTGGACGTGACTGTGATTACAAGAGGTAAAAACGATATAAATACTTTTCGTTTTCTCACACAAACCGCTCGTTTCGTGTCCAACCACTCATTAGGCCATCAATGTGTACTTACATTTACGAGTCATTAAATCATGTTTAATTTGGACTTCTCTGTGCATGCTCTTTGAGGTGGACCCCATAAACCTCCATTATATGACTGACAGACAACAACGGTTTGACCTAAAAATATCAAAATTGAAAATACTGTGGAAACAAATACTCCTACATCTTGGATGCCCTTGAGTAAGCTAAAACATATCAAAAATTAATTTCAAAGTGAACTATCCCTTTAACAACACTAAGGGCCAATCCCAATTCTACCCCTTACCCCTTCCCTTTCCCCTAGCCCTACCCCTTCGCCTTCCCCTTGACCCTTGAAACAGAGTGGCAATGCGTAGGGGTGAAAATATTCCCCTAAGAAATGGGACACCACTACGCCTCCGTTAAACGTCATTATAAGTCGTCGCTAGCGCCTACGTCACAGGAGATGCGCCGATGTTTATCACAACTTCCAAGATCCCGTCGACAGCTGCAGTTATCTCAGTCGCGTGGGTTACAGCTATTTTCTTGCATCTTGTGAAGTTCGCAGGAAACAACGGAGACGACGAAAATATGTTGCGGGACTATCGTTAGCAAACTACAGTAATTTTAGCGATTTTTTTTTTTTACAAACGTTTCTGTGAAGAAACTGACCGTAAATATGAACACAATATTGAATGTAACATATAAAGCAAATCATTATTTGTCGTTATAATACTTATTAAAGCCACAAATACTTAAATTTATGGGTCTCCTTTGTCACTTGGGCAGCCAGCCTGGGTTAGCAGTGACACTTCTCATACCCCTTCGTTTGAAGTGTGCACCCGAAAAATCTTCGTTTGAAGGGCTATCTGGCCCTTCACCCTAGCCCTCCCCCTCCAACCAAAAGAGAATTGGGACAGCCCTACCCCTTCACGTGGACGCGCAAAACGGAGGGGAAGGGGAAAGTGAAGGGGTAAGGGGTAGAATTGGGATTGGCCCTAAATAGCACAGAAACTTCAAAATCATTAATAGCACACACACACACAAAATCAAAAACCTGAAAGAGCCACACTATGGGTGCACCCGAAATAGAATATATTTAAACGTTCCTGTTTCACTATAAAATAAACATAAAGCACTTGTCAAATGGGTCTTTTTAATGGTTAGGACCCAATTACATTCAACCACTTCTTTTTATCCGCAAAATCCAATCACAGGATTTTGGGCAACATAACAAAAACCATCATCTGCAAAAAAGTGAACTTAACCAGTCTAGTCAGATGCATAATTCCCGTTAACATTAGCAACTGAAGCACAAAGAACATGCCATTACAAAAGTGTTCTCATTATAATGTTATGTAAAAGTTTGGCGCTGCAAAACTTGCACTTGCACTTTCTGAGAAACCAACCCAAACAAACACGAACAAGCAATGCCAACGAAGCCTTACCCCAGACACTGTTTATCTCTATACGTGTGATGCTACAACCAGCTGAAGGAAAGTGTAAAGGGGTCACTCACGGTCGTTGCACTGGGTGCCGGAGTACGAGGTCATGGAGCAGTCGCAGGTGAAGTTCTCCCACTGCTGGATGCACACACCCATGTTGGCGCACGAATCCTCCTGGCATGTAGTGCTGGGCCCTGACGTGGAGGAGACAGGAACAGCGTGAGTCAATAGTAATGACACATTTCAACAGGCAACTCTGTCACAGGCAGCACAGCAAGACCAGCATGCATGCAAGGTCATTCACGGGTCAGCATGAACGCTGCGTATACTGAATACTGAACCACGCTGCAGTAGTGGTGGAACATTCAGACAAGCAAAAAAAAAATAAAAATCAGTATGTTGGTCTTGTTTATCCAGTAAAAATATACAAATTTTTGTAAAAAAAACCCCAAAAAAACAGATAAATTAATTTAGGCAGCAGAGGGATTTGCACTTTTTTTACTTGGCAAGTTTTGTTTGATACAGTAAACCGATTACACTTTATTTTAAGGTGTTTTATTTTACATCAGATTATCAGATTTAATATAAGCATAAAAATAGCGAAGTTTTCAAGTCACATTTACATTTTGATCATTGGTTACCATGATTTGTGATTACTCACACATGTTTCTTTTTTAGTTCATTGGTTCATTCAGTTGATTATCTGTTGTTGTTTGTGTTGTGTTAGCACACTGTTAGCAGTACTGTAAGTGTTTTTTGTGAATTATGTTGTTGGATTATTGTCTTGCTTTTGTATATTAATGTGGTGCAATTAGATCCACTTTGTCTTGCCTTATTTTTATTTTTTATTTTTTTGCCTGATCCTGCTCTGACAGAATTATGGTCAAATGGAGTTCTTGCTATTTTTATTTTATTTTATTTAGCTATTAACTAGTTGCTCATTAGCATGAATATTACTAGGATTTTGGCTACCCAATACCTAAACGTAACAACTACTTTACTAACTATTAATGAGGAGTAATTCGATGTTTGAGGCAGTTTCAAGTTTGAGAGTAACAACAAAAAATGAGGTTCCTGCAAATTTGTTTTCTCTGACTGTGCATATTCTACTCTATTTATCCGCTAATCCTTTGCCATTATGTGATATTTCAACTGTTCCCACACTTCCCCCAGTAATTCTTATGATATATAATGTTTTTACCAACAACAAAATATAAAAAAGAGTGAGAAAAATAAACTTAACTCAAAATATATTAACAGGAAGCATGTATTGATATATTCAGCAAGTATACTGTTTTATGATTATGTATATATTCACTGGAAAACAAGACACCAATTTTTTTTATTTTATTTTTTAGCAGTGACAAATATCTTGGATATATCTCATATATCAAATGGACAAATCCATTCCAAGACATAAAAACAGAAATGCTGAACACTGCTAGAAAAAAAAAAAAGAAAAAGAAAAAGAAAAAAAGTGATATGCGATGTGAATACACCTACTCACATTTCACTTTTCAAAAATGTGTTCACATTCCACACTTATAGACAGTTACTAAAGTAATGCAAACAATTCTATTTACGCTCTATCCAAATTCATTCAAGCCATACTGAGATGTCAATTCCAGCAGCTCAGATCACAAACAAAAGAAACCAAACAGAAAAAAAAAAAAAAAAAAAAAACATGCATTCAAAACAAAGAGCGAAGCCCTGAGTACGGATGTTTGAAAGTGCCCTCTGGCTGAAAGTGCTTTTATTGAGTTGGGAAAGCAATGGAAGATTTCTTTCTTTCCTCTTGCTGGTTTCCGCCTCTAATGATTCCCCTACTGAACCACTCTTGGATGCACTCAACACAATATAAATGAGTAATTGCCAAAACATCCATTAAAATGTTTCAGTAAGGGAGACAACTGTGGCCAATTGCCGTAGAACAGTGGGACACTAGACAATGTCTCGATTTTGATGTGCCTTCAGTGGAAAGCTTTGAGCAGGAAGCTTCTTAAGGAGGATATTTATAGGGTTTGGATTTATTCTTAGTTCCCCTCAGCTACTGCACAGGTCAGCGATTAAATAAATTGTAGAAAATGCTGCAACTTTGTATAATTTTAATGTGACAGACAGACAGATAGAAAGATAGATAGGTAGATAGATAGATAGACAGACAGACAGACAGACAGACAGACAGACAGACAGACAGACAGACAGACAGACATACAGATAGATAGATAGATAGATAGATAGATAGATAGATAGATAGATAGATAGATAGATAGATAGATAGATAGATAGATAGATAGATAGATAGATAGATAGATAGATAGATAAACAGACATACAGATAGATAGATAGATAGATAGATAGATAGATAGATAGATAGATAGATAGATAGATAGATAGATAGATAGATAGATAGATAGATAGATAGATAGATAGATAGATAGATATGCATAAAGATAGATATACAGAAAGATGATAGTTCGATGGATAGATCAATGGATAAATGAGGGAGAGAAAGATATATAGACAGACAGATGATAGACAGACAGACAAACAAATAGATATACAAATAGACAGATTGACAGACCGACAGACAGAGAGACATACCGATAGATAGACAGACAGACAGGTCGATAGACAGAAAGATAGATAGACAGACAGATAGAGATACAGATCTGTCTGTCTATCTATCTAGAGAGGTCGATAGACAGAAAGATAGAGATACAGATAGATAGATAGAGATACAGATAGATAGATAGATAGATAGACATACAGACAGACAGAGACATACAGATAGACAGACATACAGACAGATGACAGATACATGACAGACAGACAGACAGATAGTGTTCGATCGTGTTCTGGTGTCTGAGTATTTGTTTTGTGGAGAAACATTAATGTTAAATCTCAGTGCAACTTTCAGCCAGGTGCGTATGAATGAGGTGAACAGGTCAAACCCTCTACCTTGCAGGTCAGCTTTGGTGAAACCAACTGTGTTAGCAGGAAATTTCAGAAAGAATTGGATCATAAAAAAGGGTTGGTTAGTGGAGGAAGGTCAGCCGAGAGAGAGAGGCAAAGATGTATGAAGGATAAAGAGAGAGTAACATGATACTGATTTTAGTAAGGCAGGGATAATGATGAGGGAATTTAAATTATTTTCTACAGTTAAACAAATGTACCTCACTCAAATCTGTAATAAAAAAAGATTGTGGATACATCATACATTACTGGCAACTACTGATAACAGGCCTTTGGTTAAGGCGCCATCTAGTGGTTACAGAAGCTCTCAACATATCAGCAAAACAAGAGTTCAATACAACACCAATATATATACGATTTAGAAAGACAGAAGATGTGTAGAGGTTAAATCAGGTTTGAATTGAATGGTTTAAACATTAATGTGTCACAATGAGGTGTGATGAGTCACATATACCTTCACAGCCCCGTTCGATCTGCCCGCTGCGGAACAGAGCGTCATTGATGAGGTCTGGCAGACGGCCGTTGAGATCCATGGAAGCTAAGCAGCCCTGGAAACCCTCGCGAGACACCACCAGCTTCGGCAGGATCTGGTACATGTTGGGCCCCAGACCGGCCACAAACAGATCACCTGCAAACGAGTGGAACAAGACAACTCAAATACGTGTTTTGATATTTTAAAATGTCAAACGTACAATCAAAAATGTCATAAAAAGGCCAAGCTGACCTTTCAGGTCCAGATTTTTGGCTCCGTTGACCACCTGGCTCACAGACTTGGCGTCCACCTTTAACGTGTGCGTGTTGCTGGCGTCGCGAGTGATCACCACATTGTGCCACTGGTTGTCGTTAAGAGGACTGTCGCTGTTTCCCTTCAGAAGACTCGGTCCGTTTCCAAGGTCAAACACATAGTGGATATACCTGATAAACACACACACACACACACTGAGCTCCACGACCCAAATCCATCCAAGTGCACTTCACTGAAAAACACTACACACTGAAGCAAACTCAGATTATCAACCGAGAGACTTCTCTATAAGAGTAAAGGCAGAGATTTTATACTCTACTACAGGACAGGCCACAAACCAAGAGGATCAAGCATTTAGATGGACAAGGCTAAACATTCATGTCACGATCCCAGCCTGTGTTTCCCTGTCTTGTGTGGACTTTTATATCTTGGACTTGATATTTTATAATTCAGTGTCCCCAACTAAGCAAGCCAGAGGCGAGCTTTAAGGAACACAAACTCCAGTGACTCCAATCAGGTGACAGAATGGAGAAAAGAAAATTTGGAAGAACCCAGGCTCAGTCGTTTCCCTCATCAGCCCCTTGTTATCTTGTGTAGAAATATGGGAGTATACAGTGTTTCTCGTGTTCTTTGTCTTAGTTGACCAATTCACATGGGCAAATCTGCCTCTAAAATTGTTTCACTCTAAATTGCGAGATATACAGGGGGAGTGGCTTTATTGCATCAAATACATGTGCACTGAAGGTCCAGGTCAATGTACTGTACTGATTGGTCTCAAACCCAGAATTAAAGCTGCTCCGGAGCAGGTTAGCCATGTACTGCAAGTTATAGCGATTAAACCCGCTAAAAACCAATCCACCTTCTTGAGCCCGAAAAACCAAAGTTTGCTCAAACTAATGTCAAATTTACCTGGGGGAAGCAACTGAAACCGGCAACAGGCCACAGGTGTTGTCCTTCTGTGGATGTACTGTGTTGGTTTTAGTTCCTGTTGTTTTGATTTATCTTGTTCCGGATAGTAAACTAAAACTTTTTGATTTTATGAAGACTATTTAAGCAAGTTTTACTTTTTTACTTTCCATATTACAACTTGGTCTAATGAATTACATTTTATATACCTTTTAAACCTATTTGGTATTAGTAACAGACAACAAATGCTGTCATTTACAGAGATCATGTGCCATTATTTATGCTGAAAGTAGAGCTTAATAGGGTTGGCTGATTCCAGAACATTTGGTTGTCAGTTTTTTTTTTTCATCCATATTAATCAAGTCAATTTTCGACTTTCAATTAAACATCTTTTTATATTACAAGGTTGGAAGCTAAGGTGAAATCCTCTGTAATTTAACATTGCATATTGGTCTTTTGTTCACTTAACTCTCATTTCATGTTGATCAATCTTTTTTAAATCTGTTTTAAATCATTGCTGATGTGGTGTTTTGGTCATCGGTATTATCATTTCTCTCTCTCACCGGAAGCCACTTGCTGAGCAAATCTGTTTGGTGGACAGATTTAAAAGATTTGTGTCACTAAGCTGAAACAAAATACCCAACTCCTAGCTTTTCCTCCTACTTATGTAATGACATATATTACAGCAAGACTCAATGAATGAATCAGTCAGTGAGCATGAACAAATCATTTCAGGGGACATATTCAGAAGATATGCATCATTGGAATGAATCAATTCCTCCAATTTTAGCTATTCGAGGTCTTCTGGGCTGTGTAGTAGTTTAATAATCTGGGGCCGTGTTCAATGAACACTTGTTATTTCCACTGATAATTCCTATTCCCAGCCGGGGGAAAAGGGGGAGAGCTCTGGGTTTGGGTCCTCGATCCCATCAAAATATGCTTATTTTATTCTTTTACTGTTCAATCATAAACTGCTACAGGTAATATGAGATTATTTTCTTATTTATTTATTAAAGATTTATTTTGGGCGTTTTTGCCTTTTTATTATGACAGGACAGTGAGTAGACAGGAAGCAAAGTGGAAGAGAGTAAGAGAGGATGGGATTGGGAAACTCGGGTCACCAGAGCTGCCCCCAAGGCTATCGGGCCAAACTTTATTCTTCATCATTCAATGCATATTGCCTGTACATAAATGAACATTTAATTTATGTCAGGGCAGATTAAAATCTATAAATCAAAATATGTAATGCATTTAATCTAGAAGAGATTAGAATCTGGATGCAGAATAACTTCCTGGAATTGAACAGAAGCTTAGTGGTTCAGTGGCGGCTACTCGCAAGGCCGACGTTATAAATAAATCCATTATTAATATTATTATTATGAAGAAAAGGCTCAGCACACAAGGCCTATAGCATATTGCCTCAATGGTGTTCAGTGTATTTGGGCAGATTGCTAAAGCGGATTGCCAGCAACAGCCATTTTAGGATTGTTTGTGATTTAGTGACTTAGTCCTCTTAACTAAACTAACCTTAACTTTTTACAGATATAGGAGCTTAGCCTGGGAAAACCCAGACAACTCCCGGCAAATTTAGATTTGCTCTGAAAGTTAGTCTGGCAAAGAGCTCAATCAAGCCCATTTCCAATCACGGCACCAATCAGAAACGTTGGGGCGGGCTTTACACGATGACGACAGCGCTCGGATTTTGAAGCAGATTTTATAGCCTACATTACAAAGATGGATGCCACCGTCGAACATCACTCGTTCGAATCAGCTATCGCGTCTGTTTTAAGCAATTTGAGCGTTTCCTTTTTGTTAAAAACCGAGCAAAGAACAACACTCTAAGATGTTTCTCTGCCGGCCGCCGCTCTGCATACGTCATCACCTTCATCGCTCTGATTGGTTTTAGGTCTACACGCGACGTCCGTTGGTGACGCCCCTCTGGAAATTATTTGTCTATGACGCTTTGCCAGACCATAACTCAGTTACAACTGAGAATGGTCTGGTTTTAACCAGGCTAATAGGAGCTGGTTTTAGCACTAAAATTCTTTGTGAAATAATCTTAGAACAAACTTTTAGGAGTCCTAAAAGTAGGACTGACAAGCCCATTATGTTTAAGAGTGTCTCCTAAACCGGTAAGTTAGGAGCTACTTTTACTGTACGTTCACACCGCCGCCGACTTGAGCTTCCAAAGCGGCCGGAAGTCATTCATTTTCAATGGAAGCTGGCTTCTCTCAGCTGCCAGGAGCGTCAAATCCATCGGCGTCGCATTTTGGGCGTTTTGAGCATTTTGAGCGTCAATCAGAAAGTTGAAAGAAGCTCAACTTTATGGTAATGAGCTGTGACGCGGTTCAGCGGCAAGCAGCGGCAAAACGCCAGCAACCAATCGGAATATAGACGTCCTTCACGCTGGCTGATTCCAGAGAAACATGAATGTAAACTTTTGTTCCTACCAAAACATTAGCTCAGAGAAAATGGAAGAGAAGCTAATCATCGCCATTGCTGTGTTTCCGACTGGTTTTGTATCATTTATGATATGATGTTGTTTGCTTGAAGGGACCGCATGGGCGCAACTTTTATTTGAAATATTTACGAATGCTCGTTTTAAAGCGGGAATGCAATTGATTTGCTCACGGTGACACTGATTTCACCGCAAATAATAATAATAATAATAATAATAGCTAACTATTTTTTTCCAACCAAAGGTGACCAAAAAGGTTCTAAAAATGCTGTCATTAAAAAAGGTTTCTTCAATGTATTGCTTGTTTTTTTTTCTTCTGTTTATTACATTTCATGTTGTGACACTTCTATTCTCCCTGCAACGTCAGAGCGTTCAAAGCATCCAAAGCGTCAACAAGCTTCCCTGTACTTTTAGACAAGCGTCCTTGACAGGGTGGCCAGAGCTTCTTTGACGCTCAAGTAGGCGGCGGTGTGAACGCACAGTTAGTCTTAAGATGTTTTGTGAATAAGTCCCCTGCATTCTAAAAATGAACACACTTTTAGCCACGTCACGGCCGACTCCTCACAATGGATTCTTCATGGGATCGATTCCCAGCCTTACCTTTCAACCTAAAAAAATTTGGTAAAACCTGGAAACTGATACTTTGAACCCTCCTCTTTTCCACTCACCCTTTGACAAGCTCTACGGCAATAAAATCATTCCCGTCTCCACTGTTGAAGAGGATGAATCCGTCACCCGAGGTGGTTTTGAACTGAAAGAACAGGTGCATGGTGTTATATGCCTGGAGCGTAGCAAGACCCAGATAGCTTCCTTTGGTCTTGAAGGTAACAGGATCGGCCACGATGGAGCGCATGCCGAAACGAGCATTTAGCTCACAGAATTCGATGTCCCCGTTCTTGCACATGTCGATGTAGAAAAGGCCGTTGAACTTCAGGCCTTGCAGGTGACCGATGAAGTTGGATGGAGCCGTGGAGGCAAAGCGCCGTTCTGTCAGAATCCCGGTCTCAATGTTACTGAACTCCAGCCGAGTGTGGTCACCATTCATCTGACCTGTGAAAGAAGAGTAGGAGGTCTTGGTGAAGCGATTAGTAAGTGTTGGACTAATGCATTGTATAGGGGGCAGATGCTTATACTGCATTCGTACCTTCTGCCACATCATCATCCACCATGAGTTTGAAGTTTTTACCACGCCGCATCACTCTGACCGAGTGCCAATCATTGTCGTTCACTTTCTGGCCAGCGTACAATGTCTCTGGTCCTTTACCTGAGAATGATGTGTGTCAGTTAGTGTTTACACACACTAGCGTTGCAAATCACATTTCTGGCTTCTCACCATTGTAATAAATCATGCCATGTGTAAAGGTCACACACTCGTATGTGAGAAAAAAAATAATAATAATCTTTTGGTATGTATTTTCAGACTTCTGTCATAAAGATGATAGACCACAAAAATATTTTAATTGAGGTACATTGAGAGAGTCAATAATTCAGAGATAAGTATAAAATCAACTGCTGTTACTCAGAAAAAGGCCAAAGCGTGAAACAAAACCAAAGTATGGCTGAGGTATGTGTGGAAAAGCATATCCTTTCTGCAAAAATGATAAAAGGGTTGGTTCACCCTCAAATTTTATTTTATTATGTTCTAATTTACTCACCCCCAAGTAAGCCAAACAGAATCAGAGTTTTATTTAAAAAAAAAAATATCATGGCTCTTCCAAGATTTATAATGGGAGTGCATGGTAAAAAAAATAAAATAAATAAATAAATCCAAAAGTGCATCCATCCATCATAAGAGTAATCCATATGACTTCAGGGTTAATAAAGGCCTTCTGAAGTGCAGAGATGCATTTTTGCAAGACAAATATCAACATTTATAACTTTATAAATCACTGGATTGGATGTAATTACGCTTGAGTTTGTTGCCCAGCATTATTTGTTTGAACCACAAGACTTGATTACTCTCACCTAAGATTGTTATTACAGTTTATAAAGTTATAATTATGAATATTTTATTTACAAAAACACATGCTTTGCTTCAGAAGGTCTTAACCCCCTGGAGTCATATGGATTACTTTTATGATGGATGGATGCACTTTTTTGGGCTTCAAAATAATGGTATCATTCACTGCCATTATAAAGCTTGGAAGAGCCAGGATAACTCGGATTGTGTTTGGCTGAAAGAAAGTCGTATACACCTAGGATGGCTTGAGGGTGAGTAAATTAGGGGGTACTTTTCATTTTTGGGTTAACTATCCCTTTAAGTATACTACTATGCTAGTAATTTGTGGTGCTAAGTGCCCTGTATGTGCTAATGTATATGCTAATCCACTCATACATAGTTGTAGGCATTTATGTTTTAAAGTGCACTCATACAAACATACTAATAAAGAACGTCTCGGGTTATGACTATAACCCTTGTTCCCTGAGAAGGGAACGAGACACTGCGTCGATAAAATCGACTCTTTGGGGACGCTCCCTAAGCGTGCGCCTCTGAAGTATGAATGAAACTAATCCAATCCTGATTGGTGTTGCGTCGTGACGTAACATGTGACGGCATACCCGGAAGTATAAAAGTGACGCTGTCACAACACACACTAGCCTCGCGATGAAGCAAGACGCTCAAGGGTCTGAAAAGGGGGCGTGGCAACACGACGCAGTGTCTCGTTCCCTTCTCAGGGAACAAGGGTTATAGTCATAACCCGAGACGTTCCCTATCGAGGGAACTCAACACTGCGTCGATAAAATCGACTCTTTGGGGAACGAGTACCCACTAGGCCACGCACCGAACAGACCCGCCCCAGAGTGAAACTGATTAGGCACTCAGCAAGGGCCGAGTACGTGTGCACCGGGCGTACTGGGAAGGCTGAGACTGTAAAACCTGATGAAAGTATGCGGGGTAGCCCAGCCGGCTGCCTCACAAATCTCCTGCAGAGGTACTCCCGACAGAAGGGCCCTAGAGGAAGCCATGCCTCTAGTCGAGTGAGCCCTTAAGGCCAAAGGTGAAGGAACCCACGCACCTTGTAAGCCTCAGTAATAGCCTGGACAATCCAGTTACTTATAGTTTGTTTGGTCGCCGGGAGCCCCCTCTTAGGTGACCCAAAGCATACTAACAACTGGTCAGATCTTCTCCAAGAAGCAGACTTTTCCAAGTATACACTCAAAGCTCTGACGGGGCAGAGCAAGTGAAGCCTCTCTTCTCCCGCCGACACATGAGGTGGAGGATGGAATGCCTGAAGGACTACAGAGCGAGCCGTACTCGAAGGAACTTTAGGCACGTAGCCCGGACTCGGGTGCAAAAAGGCCTTTACTTTGCCAGGGGCAAACTCCAAGCAAGCTGGCGTTACCGCCAGGGCCTGGAGATCTCCCACCCTCTTAAGAGAGGTAATCGCTAAGAGAAAGACCATTTTCAACGTTAAGTCCTTAGGCGAAGCCGACTCTAAAGGTTCGAAGGGAGCGAGGGACAACCCTTCCAGAACTATTGCCAGATCCCAGGCAGGCACCCTGGACCTGATCGCCGGCCTCATCCTCCAAGCACCACGGAGAAACCTAATGACCAACTGGTGCCTCCCCAGAGGTCCACCATCTACTGGCGCGTGGAAAGCCGAAACGGCAGCCACGTACACCTTAAGAGTGGACGGGGAGAGACCCGCAGAGAAACGATCCTGAAGGAATTCCAGAACTGAAGCCACTGGGCAGTTTACTGGATCCAACCTTCGTTCTCCACACCAAGTGTGAAACACCTTCCACTTGAGGCCATATAATCTCCTGGTAGATGGGGCCCTAGAGCTAAGTATGGTTTCAACCACCTCAGCTGATAAGCCAGCATTTAGGTACTGAACCCCCTCAGAGGCCAGACCCACAGCTTCCACAACTCTGGGCGAGGGTGGAAGATTGTGCCCTCCGCCTGAGACAATAGATCCCTCCTCAGAGGAATCGGCCATGGCGGAGCTATGAGGAGTGATATTATATCCGAGAACCATACTCGTGTCGGCCATCTCGGGGCAACCAGAAGTAGACTGATGCCCTCTTGACGGACCCTCTCCAGGACCCCTGGGAGCAGAGCGATCGGGGGGAAAGCATACAGGCGAAGCCTCGGCCAAGCCTGTACCATGGCATCCAACCCCAGTGGGGCTGGATGTGAGAGGGAGAACCAAAGTGGACAGTGGGACGTCTCTCGAGACGCAAACAGATCCACTTCCATCGGTCCGAACCTCTCCCATATCGACTTCACCACATCCGGATGAAGTCTCCATTCCCCGGGCCTCAGCCCCTGCCTCGACAGGATGTCTGCTCCCCGATTCTGAACCCCTGGGATATACATTGCCCTTATTGACAATATCTTTCCCTGGGACCAAAGGATAATCTGATGCGCCAGTTTGCACAGAGGGCGCGATCTGAGTCCCCCCTGTCGGTTCAGATAGGCCACCACTGACGTATTGTCTGTCCGTATAAGGACGTGGCGACCCTCGATGTCTGGGAGGAAGCTCCTCAAAGCCTTGAATACCGCCATCATCTCCAGGCAATTTATATGCCAAGTGCGATGATGGTCCTGCCACAGACCCCTGGTAAAGCGGCCGTCCATGACCGCGCCCCAGCCCGTAAGGGAGGCGTCTGTCGAAACGGTTTCCCGGCGACATGACACCCCCAACACTGGCCCTTGGGATAGGAACCAAGGCTTCTTCCATATTTGCAGAGACTGAAGGCACTTGCGCGTTACTCTGATCATACGGAACGGATTTCCTTTGGGTGAGAACCCCTTGGTCTTCAACCACCACTGGAGGGGCCTCATGTGAAGGAGGCCCAGAGGAATAATGTTGGATGCCGCTGCCATGAGGCCCAGCATCCTTTGAAAGTGTTTCACAGTGACGGCCTGACCTAGCCTCACCCTGGACACCATCGCCAGAATTGACTCGATACGTGCGGGAGACATACGTGCCTGCATTGTAATCGAGTTCCACACGACTCCCAAAAAGGTCGTGCCCTGGGACGGTTCTAGCACACTCTTCTTCAAATTGAGTCTTAACCCCAATTTTTGAATATGGCCAAGAACGACATCTCGATGCCGAACTGCCATCTCCCGAGACTGGGCCAAAATAAGCCAGTCGTCGAGATAATTCAATACGCGAATCCCCTGAAGTCTCAGTGGAGCAAGGGCCACGTCCATACACTTGGTAAATGTGCGGGGAGAGAGTGCTAGGCCGAACGGAAGAACCCGATATTGGTATGCTTCGCCCCCGAAAGCGAACCTCAGGTACCTCCTGTGACAAGGAAGGATGGAGATGTGAAAATAGGCGTCTTTCAGATCTATCGTGACAAACCAGTCCTCGGATCTGATTTGACTCACGATTGTTGGAATGGTCAACATTCTGAATTTGAACCTTCTCAGAGACCGGTTCAACACCCTGAGATCCAAAATTGGCCTTAACCCCCCATCCTTCTTTGGAACTATAAAGTACCGGCTGTAAAACCCGGACTCCCTGTCTACCGGAAGAACACGTTCTATGGCTCCTTTCGACAGCAGAGTCTGTACTTCTTGTTCCAACACCTGAGCCTGCTCTGGGACCACCGCAGTGAGCACCACCCCAGAGAACTTGGGGGGGCGGTGCGCGAACTGCAGTCTGTACCCAACTCGTATTATCTGCAGGACCCATGGAGATATGTTGGGAAGATGATACCATCCCTCTACAAAATCTGCTAAGGGTACCAGCCTCTCGAGGCTGGCCTCTGGTGTCTTTTCGCTGGAAATTGATGCGGCCCGAAGCGCTGTTAACGGCGGACCTGCATCTTTTCCTAGAGGGCCCCGTTGTGAGAACAACCTCGGTTGTCTCACTGCGGAGGGGGCAGCCCTCTGAAGTCCTGCCTTGGCTAGGACCTCTTTTCCGAAGTCCTCTTAGCCTGAATGACGTCCCTCAGGTCGCCCCTCTGGCTGGAGGACTTCGGTTTTTGGGAGCGTTTCCTCTGTTGCCAAGACCCCGGAGGGGGGGCTCTAGAGGAAACGCTCTCCTTCTGCTCTGCCCTGTGGGAGGAGCTGGCTGATGGCTGGGGCTGATTGCTTTGCCCCCCCCTACTAGATTTGGCCTTCGCTTTCCGGGGGAGGTACTGCTGGAACGCCGCAGATTGTTTTCTCGACTCCTGAAACCTGTCGACAACCGAATTAACGGCGTCGCCGAACAGGCCAGAAGCCGAAAGCGGCGCATCCAGCAGGAAGGACCTATCCTTTTCTTTAATACCGGATAAGTTCAGCCACAGATGCCTCTCCGTGGC